AATGTCATTCAAAACGGTTAACGTGCTGAAACTAGAATAATTTACTACGTAGTAATATTTCTTATAATAATAATTTCTATCACTCCAACCAACTATCACGTTGCAAAATATTTACACGTTTCGTCGTAGCTCAAACGTCAATATTTTAATGTAATAGCGCTATTTAGTTGTGTATCCTCTTTAAAAGGCATATGCATAAGAAGAATTTTGTTTAGAATTTCGATGTTAAATATTTTTTGTTAGTTATCAACAGTAGGTACATATTAATAAAATTTCAATAATTTAACCACAAATAATAATCACAAGTGTATACTGTGTCTGTACAAGAGTGCAAGTATTATAATTAACTTTATTTTTAATATATCACTCTATCTAGTAAAAAAAAAACTGCATCCGTTGCATACTTTCAAAGACCTAAGCATACGTAGGGACAGACAGCGCGACGACTTTGTTTTATACTATAATAGAGCAAACAAGTGAACACCTAAATTATTTAAGTAACATGATTAACGCTGAGTGCTGCACTGGCTTTTTCCGTGTTTTGTCTTTATTCAAGGTTACGTGATGTCAATCAAAATAATGGAATATTCCAATATACATATATTTGAATCCTATGACCTAATCACGTTTTCAAGTTCTGATACCTATAACTGTAATGGGGCAGACAGGGATCTTTAGAGTTTTTCACGTTTCATCGAGCTTATTGGTTGTATTACGAACCTTCCATTATGTCGTTGAGGATTCAATTTAGTTACCTCGTAAGTTCCACTTTAACAGCGTGACATTTGATTATATTTATTCATAGATGTCGTTTTACGTTTGTGTGGTGCATGAATTCAGTTTCACCTCATGATATGGTTAGACAGGAAACAAATTCATGTAAGCCGCGTATACTTCGTCCAATCATTTACTACCAAAAGGCGTAGGAAGATATGATTTCTAAAAGACGGTTCATATTTTTTCACCACTTTGCCTCCCCCAATAATATTTGATACGCCATGATGTTATATGTGGGTTTGTTTTACTCTCCATCCCGATAGGATGGCTTACCTAGCTATCCTATAGGCAGGGTAGTTAGGCAAACGAGCAAGCGGCGCAGCGGATGTTAAAAGATTACCGCTGCTCATGGATAACTATAATAAGAAAGCAGTTACGTTGCCAAGCGTATAAAACTTTGCTACGGTGCTATTCAATCACCAAACCAACTACAAAAGGATAAGTAATACTGCTATATCACGTTGGTGTTCTTTGAACTTTGCTTCAAAGTGGTGCGGTTCCAGAAAATGTGCTTTCAAAGTGCTTACAAGAGTGGCCTTTGGGTTGTTTTTGGACACGCCTTTTAACTTTTGGCGACCAGATACTGTGGTCTATAATAGGGACTATTAGATGATTTTGAACTTAATTGGTGATCTTAGTTTTAATGAATGACACTAGCACCAAATATGTCTATATAATGATCATGTTCATCCTTCTTTCCCTGATAACTCTTTGTGTTAAAGTACGAAATAAGTAGAGAATGGGGACAATAATAATTAAGGTCATTTGCTCGACAATAGCGCTTTCTTTCGCCTATATGAGGAATTTACAGCCACGCGGATTTTATTTGCCAATAAGCTAAGTTTGTCGATGTTTATTTCATTTAAAAGCATTTTGCCGAGGCGCATGAAGCATCGGTAGTAAGGCAACCACGATGTTTTTTTTGTGTTGTACTTTTTAAGCAGCCGCGGGCAGCCGCGGGTTCACTCGTAGGCGCGGTTTTTGTAGGTGCAACTTTCGCAGGCTTTGCTACTGTTTTACGAACTTTCTCGCAGCCACGATTGCAGGTAGGTTAGCCCTCTGTTGCAACTAACACACGATGGCGGTACGGATGTCCCTTAAGGACTCGGGTAGTCCGCAGTGTCATGATCCCCAGTGTGTTTTTTATAATTGCAAGTGCTATGATACCAAATTTTCTCAGAATTTCGACCCGAATGCTGGAGATTCTACAAATAATTTTTTTGTTGAAAATGATCCTAGGGAATATAATATTAGTAATAGATTTTTCGGCTGCTAATAACTACTAGGATTTTAGGGTCCTTCGGAAGCGAGTAGGTATAGAATCTTGTTCTCTATTGTTGTCGTGCAAGTGTTGTGTTAGTTTACGGTATTCTTCCCAGTTTGCGACGTGAACACGAATGTTCGAATAGCTTTCTTTCAAACTAGACGAAGATGCGGATTCGGGGCCAGCGTTAGAATCGGGCTCGGGTACAAAGTCAGTTGGTAAAAATACCACTACAGGGGTAATCACTTCCGCGGAAACTCTACGATCGCGGTGGGCGCGAAAGGCGCGATTGACAAGGAGACTAAGAGAACAAGAAGCCAATACCCGACGTATGGGCACGCTTCGAATTCCTCTAAGAGGGCCCTCATGGCTAAAATTACATTGTTTGTGGAGCTTGGGCCCTGCCGGTAGTTTTGCAAGCTAATTCCTCTCCCCCTTTCGGCCGGAAATTTGCTTCGTTCTTCGTCCTGGTTCTTGCCCCGTCAGTAGACAGATCCGTTAGAGTGCGTAATATAATATTTATATTAAGTGTGGTGATAATATCATATAATCACGGAATAATCGCTATTGTTAAACCTTAATGAAGATTTTACTATTATTTAATTTTAGAGCTTTCATTATTAAGAGGAATCTATATTTGAATACGGACTATAAAAGAAATTAAATATATATATATGCTTAATCCTATATTTAGACCGAGTTAGTAAGGCTTTTAATTTCTTGCATCTGTATAAAAATACACTTCTTTAATCACGATTAATATTGAAGCTTACAGTGATTACATTTTAGAGCTCACTGTAATCATATTATCAATAACACATGAAAAATTAAGTGTATAATATATTTTTACTAGTTGTTTTGGTTTAAAGTTGAAGTTTAGTAGTAAGTATTCATTACTGAATAAATTCGTATTAACCTTCCTTCGCAATGAATATTTTTAAGTAGGTATCACAATTAAATTGACTTTGCTGAACTACTATCTTTGTATATAATTCTATTGTACGTGTGTATGTCATCATGTGAAGTCCTCCTAAACGACTGAACAGATTTTGATGAAATTTTTTGTGTGTCTTCACGGTCGATTCGAGAATGGTTTAGATTCACAATTCGGTCTACATTTTTTTTTCTAAGTTGTCGTATTTAAATCGTGTGTACAGGAGAACGTCTCTCCGGTCCGCTAATCTTTATAGAGGGAGGCTTTTCTAAACGTATCCATTTTTTTATTAAATTCTAGACATATATAATGTTATATAAAAAATGATAAATATTTAAAATCACTCGTTATTAATTATATACATTCATTTGAACTTATCTCAAAAAGTGCGTGATTTGTGGAGAACTCATTTATTTTACGCGCGATCATTCAAAATTTACAGGCACACAAGTTCGTTTCATACGTATACGACGCATTTATGAATGACTCCCGCATTTCACACACAAGTTTTGTTTTTTAGGTAATGGAATGTCAATTTTTTTGAAAAATAAAAAGTTTGTTTTTATTTCAAGAAACGATTATACAACCGAGTCTGAACCTCCTGTGTGAATTTAGGCACCTGTAGAAAATCCATCCGCATATACAATTCTTCTGTACGTGTATATGTCATTGAACTCTTCCTAAACGGCTGGACCGATTGTCATGACATTTTTTGTAATTTTTTTTTCATATATCGAATTGTGGTCACATAGAAAGAATTTGATTTTATCGTCGGAGAGTCTTAATTATTGTCCACGCTTTTTTTATAATTATTGCACAGTCTCCCACTTTTTTATGGATTTTTCGTTGAAAACAGTGCTACATGCGTTTATGTCATATGTACATATTATCTGAATTTTTCGTAGAACAACGTTATATAAACGTGTAGTACTTAGAGGACCGGTTTTTTCTTATGGTAAATAGTGTATTTTGGAAATTAAAAAGAAAGATAAAGAAAGCAATGATCTGGTATAGAAAAAAAAATGAAGTGTGTAAATCGTGACACGAACCGCGGTCTTCTGTTTCTTCTGCGGGGGGCCACCCGATTATGGACCTATTATAACATTTTTTTTTTCGCCGAAATTTATGATATTTTTCATTCCCTGGTTTATCCCAACACAGGGATAAAAGGATATTTTCTAAAAATGAAACCTAGCTAGATCGATTTTTCGCCCCTGAATCTACGCACATACTAAATTTCATGAAAATCACTGGAGCCGTTTAAGAGATTTCGATTATATATATCTAATATATAAAATTCTCGTGTCACGGTGTTCGTAATTGAACTCTTCCGAAACGGCTCGATCGATTTTCGTGAAATTTTAGGTGAAGAATTGGACAATATCTATTTTTCATCCCCCTAAATGCTAAGCGTGGTCCATCCCAAACATTTTTTCTACCCTAATAATTTATATGGCAAAAAAACGTTTGCCGGGTCAGCTAGTACCTATATATACATACAAAAATTGCTCGTTTAAAGTTAGTAGATATATGAACTTGTGACCTATCAGTTTTTGCCATTTTCCGTAGAAAAACGTCATAATTACACATGAAACCTCTTATTTCCTAAATTTATATAATTTTTTATTCAAAAAGTATACTGTTTGTTTATATACCTAATCATATTACAAACCTCAAAAATTTTAATAGCAACTGTATAAGAAAACTATAACCAAAATAAAAAAAAAAATTTGAATTGGCCGTCGTGAACATTAAAATTTTTCAGATGTCACGTTATTCTACGCAGGGTGCGATATATAGACTGTTGTCAGATTTAAGTCATGTGTATAGGACAACGTCTGTCGGGTCCGCTAGTATAATTATAAAAATACAAGGAAATAAAGAAAACATTGAAGTGTTGCAATTCTCACCTTGTTCTCCCTTCAAATTACACCTGAAGATTTTAAGGGGTTTCATGAGTCACTTTTACGATAAGATCAAAATACGCCCACTTTACAGAGTGACGCAATTACTTCTATTGAAAGAATGATAATCGCATCTGATAAGCTCGTAAAGGAAAATCACGCCAGAAATGACCAAACACGTGAGTTGAATATTAAAAAAATAACAAATCAAATACAGGACTAGTCTGAGACAGAATGAAAATCATGTCGCATATTTTTCAATATGGTTTTATTATTTAATTTTTCTTCCTAGTTCGAAGCCTCTATACAAATGATAACCTAAAGGTTAATTTAAAGTTGAATATAGAATAAGGGGTAATAATATTATGAGGAGAGGGGCAAAATACGTTATTAAAGACAAAGGAGGATGACGGGTGAATTCAAAGAGTGATAAAATAAACACGCTGGGATTGAACTTAACACTCGTGCATAGCGAATACTAGCCGCAATGGAATCACTTAAAAATTCACAACATTTGTTTAAGGCGTAGTGGCAAAATAGTAACTAATAAGAAATATCTTCTTCTATACGTTAATATGTGAAGGAAATACTTTGTAACCCTCGCGCGGACGGAGGTGTATTTTCCACACTTGGTTGAATTTCTTGGTCACTGTGCGACCACTAGTTAAGGATAATTTTATGTTGCTCAATACGAAATATCAGGAATCTAATGGTTATAGCAATTAAAGTAATTAAATTTCCATTTAGTATTTGCTATACATTATAGCTTAGTACAAATGTAGTACACTAAAATTATGTTAAATCTCGAAATAAAAAATCAATCCGCGTTTCTATGGCAAGTAAGTAAGAGTAACTGAAGAAATATTAATAGCAAAGTTGACTGAAACATAAACCTGACTGGTTCATTAGCGCGCTTGAAGTGTTAACCAATTCTTGTTAACTTTTCATATGACCATTATTTTGCACGACTTCATAAACCATGTGACGTATTAATTCAAGCATGAATTTCCTATGTAAGATATTGATCTGGCACACACATCCATCATAGTCACGTACTATTGCGTAGACTATCAATTGCGTTTATAGTTCTAGGTAGTGATAATTGCTGAATACTCTTAGATATCTCATTATCGCAGCAATGAGATGTCTTCTTATAGAAGTTTTACCGAGAAAATTATTTCTTTGAATTTCTAATTTACCTAAGCGCTTAAAACTATATTCAAAGTCAGGACAGTAAGTAGCATTGTACCCAAAAAGCGACATTTACATTGGAGCACATGTAAACATTTTAATACAATTTAAGATAGGTGACTAGACGTGCCAAGCCTTTAATTTACCACTTGAATAGGCCACGGTGAATTGGCCAGCACTATGTTGTAATTATGTGAAGTTATAGGTATACTTTACGATCGTCCCAATGATGCTAGAGCACCCGCCTTGGTGAATCTGAATTCGCAACGTTTCCTTGGGTCGATCGTATCACCCGTTTATTGCGGAAAACACATCGCACTAATGATTAATGACCAGCTTTGTGCCACTATGTTTATTGACACTAAAAGTACGATGGAAAAGTGTAATGGTCATACATGGCGCCATCAAAGTCATGCGGGGGATATTCCATTGTTTTAACAACATTATTCGTTATTAGGATGAAAAAGCGTTGTGCGATATTTTGTCTATTTTAATTTAAATTCATAATCTGCAAATTTATCTATATACCAAAAATTTAGATTACTGCATGTTTTTATGTACAAATACAGATATGTTCCATGGCAATGTATGGAAAACTGTTCACGTTGCTGTAGGTTCTATGTCTTTAATCGCCTGCTTATTCTTCTATTAATTAAATCTTACAATTTAGATCGAAATCTAAATCAGGGTATTGTTTTGTTTTGGAAGCATATTATTTTTATTGGCTGTATTTTAGTTTTTATTTAGTCAAGAGTGGTAATAATGTCCCTACATTTTATTTATAACTTACAGTAAGCTATTTCTTTTTAGATTCCCTTTTTCTTCTATGGATCTCAAGATAAGAATTATTATGGACTTATCGATGCCCGATTGAATTAGCTCCACAACTTGTTACTGTCAACTGAAAGTGACAATTTGAAGTGAAATTTTCTGTTTGAGATTGATGATTTTATGAATGACTCTATATTCTCAATAAAACTTTACTCGAAAGTATAGTGTATAAATTGCATATAAATAACTTTTTATTTTTATTTACATTTATATAAAAATAAATATATATTGCTTATTATATAATCATTGCTAAGTAAATCTTAAACGTTTCTCACGATTCTGCTAAAAACCTTTCAATTGTACGTTTTCCAGTAACGCCGACCGCTTCAGGTGTTGTGCTAGCGCTTATTGTTTCCATTACAATACACCCGGTGTCGTGAGCCTGACATCAAAGGTAGGGTAGCGTGACGGCATCGAGCCAGGTGACGTCATCAGCTAATGGCGTAGGGTACCGGCGCCAGGCGTCCGAGGCGGCCCCGCCGACTTCGGCGTCGGCTGCTCGGCTCTCGGCCCGAGCGGCGACGAAACGCGAGCGCCGGCTCCTCGCCTCATACAGCGCGCTCGAATCCGTCACAACTCACACCCGTTCCCATTGCCGACCCGATCGTATCAGTGGCACGACGTGCTGGCGCCGCCGCGTCCCATCTTCGTTTCGTCCAAAACTTCCAACTTTTCTCACGTCTCGATCGGGTTAATTTTTTACGCGAATCACGACGATTGCAAGCTACGCGCGATACACTCCAGTCCGGCACGAGAAACGCCGAGTGAGAAATTTTATCGCAATTTTAAACGTCAACGATTTATAGAACCACAAGTCACTTTCAACAGTACGGGCTTGTATAGAATTGAATTCCATTGTATTAGTGGCGAGCTTGGTTTTTAAATTTTGTATTTTGTCGCAATAGACGTGGAACGGAAAGGAACCGAAAATGTCGAAGAAACATCTTCACAATCAAGCTGCTATACCGTTAGCTCCAGCGGTGTTTAAGGTAAGTTTTTATGTTTATACCATTATTTTAATTAAAACCATTTTTAAAGACTGTAAAGATTAATAAAACTTTACAGATTTATAAAGTAACAATATATTTGGGTGCTGTGCGATAATTTATTTTCCCTGTAAAGCATGTTTGTATCCGCTACAATTTTAACTTTAATCGAAAAATTTAATTTATTACTTTTCATATGGTTTTTATGTAAAAAATTATTAAAGAACTTGATGTTACAATACATTCTAAAATCTTCGTAGTATTCAATTATAAAAATACTTTCAATTTTCTTCAGTGTTTGAAACGTCAGAGTTCAGTTTCTGGAACAATACTTTGAATTACGTTCTCAGGTAGTACCAATACTTAACAATTTATTGCGCTGGTTGCAGTTTACAGTTACGTTTGTCTGTGGCCATTCTCCTATGAAAGCTGTGCGAATTGGTAGAGCTGTAAAAAGGTAGAGTTTCGCGACGTAGTAGAGCGCACCAACGATACATCACTTAATGAACATTAACAAATAATGAATTACACAATAAAATTACTTATTTAGTCCCAAGTTTAATATAAAAGTTATATAAAGATAAGCATTGATTGTTGTTGAAATATATTGACGAACTTCCATATATCTTCACTACCGCGTGGTTCTTAAAACAACGTTTGTGAAAAAAAATTAAGGATAATTTATTTAAAATAATGTGCAATAATTATTAAAATTAAGTAACACGTTTATAAGGAGTATAAATAAGTCAATGTTTAGATTCGCTTAGAGAAAAGCTGCGAGCTGAATTTAATTATCGAATGTGTTTGAATATTCGACTTATGCCGCTCGCATTCCCGCGCCTCCTTTGATGCTTTTATAAAGATACCTAATTAATCTCGTAAACAGCATCACTATTCTATTTATATCACGTCTAGTAATCCATCATCCGGAAGTCAACAATGTTTTTTGATTCTGTGCTTTGTTTATTAGAAAGGCTGAATCATTAATATATCAAAGGAAAAGTTACGTTAAACTGCGCCATATTGGTCGTCCGCCGTATTAATTCATTTTAATGTTAATTATTATAGATGAAAATTTAACCAAACCCGAAATTTCTATTTTCAAAATGCTAAAGTATATTGTGCAAACCTTCATAAACTTCACATTTCAATAGATGGACAAGACGAAAAAGTTTTTTTTATTATAACTGTGTTACTTCGATTTTGTGGATTAAAAAGGTAAGACGGTATTTAGACAAACAGGAATAATGACTGATTTAAAATGCAGAGGGGGTAGAGCGTTAAAGTAAATGTTGAGGGGTAGAGTCGAAAAATTGTATCCTTTTTTCGCCACAGATTGGTTATTATTACTGCCGTTTTCAACAAGTATATATTTAAAAAAATATTTTAACTCAATTCTCCTCTTGAAATATAGCTAATATTTCTGTATAACGTGTTCTCTCCAAAAAGTTTATGGGAAAATAGTTGATTATATAACAAAATAAGAAAAAAAATTTAAACTTTGGAAATATTATTGAAATTATTTATAAGTAAGCCAATAGTAGAATTAATAATAGAGATTTCTTTCAATTCAAAACATTTTCAAATATAATATGTAAGTGCTATTAGCGCAACACTAAATTTTATTAATATATAATTATTATTGTATTAAAAAGTAATGGCTTAGGTTAAGTTTAGATGAATCGGCAAAAATTCACGTCTAAATCACCATATGATTTAGACTTTAGTTTAAGGTTTACCTTGGATCTCTAAGTGGGCTACGTCTCAATATTTATTCTATTTAACCTTATTTTTTGAGTCATAAATGTAACATTAGGATAAATACCATGAATATTTAATTAAAATAAAATATTAAATGTAAACTAAATTATATGGTACATAAAAACCTTTTTTGACTTCAAATTAGGTTATAATCCAAGTAGGTACCAATATTGTTGTAATTTCGTCACATTATTTATGGTTATGGTAAAAGTTAGACATTTAATTATAATATGCTGGGACATTATTACATTCTGTAGGCGATAATATAAAAATGTTAAGCTCGCAGACCCATAGTCATTAAAATATTTGACTACTTTTCGTAATGGGGCATCCGTTACAAAAAAGTCCAACTCTATGGGTTTGTTTGAGAATTCTCAGATACAGTATGCATTGTTCATTTGATCTGGATTAAAAACAAAACCATCGTGCATGGTAACCGCTTCTGCGAAAGTCTATTTACAAAAAGCAAAGCTCGTGTAATAGAATTATATATTTCTAGGTATATGCTAAATATATAGAAAATAAAAAAAGGATTATATAATATGTAAATGCAGGGCTCTAACCTATCATCCTACTACTTTTTAGCGCGTTTGAGAAAAAGGATGAGAGTGAACTTTTACGTAACGCAACAACTAAAAGCGACATCAACTTCATGGTTTTATCATGACAACCAATAACAACTTTTTAACATTTACCTATAACAAACTAATCAAGTTATTTAATTAAACCTTTATCAATATTTTGAAACGCTAAAGAACTTCTTACGTGCTTATATTACGTTTTTGTAACGCTAACATTTTTTTTATATAAAAAAATCCATTGGTTTGAGATAGTCGGACCTGTTTTATAACAGGCTCACCTTTTTCGTCTTATCTACTTTTCGCGTAAAAATGCCGCCCTAAAAACATGCAAACGAAAGAATAACGAAGCAAGCGCGAGTCTGAATGAACTTTTTATTGAGGCAAACGAAATCGTTAGCAACTGAAGCGTGAAACCGAAATTCGCCTTTGCGCCAGCGACTGTGTGCGCGCGGCCTCCAAAATGGTGCGAAGAGTGTAGAACAGGCGGTGGCGGATCACTCGCTCGCTCCGGCCTGTGCCTCGGCGGTGGAATTACGGAGGACGCGCCGCGCGCTTGGGCAACGGAAATTTCCACTGGCCCGCCCGTGCGCCGCGCCCGCGTCTCGGCCCGCACCCCCGCCGTCACCCGGCGTGTCCACGCACACACGCGCGCGCACACCAGCCGAATGGCATTCCGCACGAAACACCCATGCACACATCCACACAGGCAAACGCTCGTTCGAAAAGGGTACGCGACTCCGCTCCAGCTTATTATACGCACCCGCGTCGCAATCGCTCCAAAGGCATCTTCTTCAAAACGCAGGTGTGTGCGATGCAGATAGAGAGGAGACGGCCCGCCGCAAGTTACGCCACAAAAAAGGGCCCTCCGCGAATTTGAATAGGCCAAAACCTGAACCGGCATCACGATTCTATTTTTAACTCTAGCAAACGCTTTTCGACCATTCCGAAGTGAATGATCCTGTTCAAGGCGTTAGATTTTATTATGAATAAACTGTTCATCGCAACACGCACGCACATTAATGAAACGACAATAAGTATTTTATGTAGGTTTAACGCACAATGGACCACTTGATACAAAAACGGCGACCCACAATGAATCGAGAAGCAAAAAGTCAATAGCTTATAAATTAAAATAATTCTTTTGGAATTTGGCATGTTCATAAAAACAAAAAAAAAATATTTTGTACAAGAATGTTGGCGTCACTATCTCTCTACCATATCTGATATTGTTTTACCTTCGTACTGTTTAAACGAAAAGACATCAACGAATAATGATGAAATGTTGTCCTTCTTAATCATAATGTTGCGGTTGGTGATAATTAGAGGTATCATACGAAGTAAAGAAATTAAAGCCGATATAATTACAACAACATTTAAATACAGAATGTGCAAATTAAACTTGGGAACATATTTTTGTTATAAATTTTTACAATTTTTAAACATAAAAAATGTTTAATTTTAATAATTTTTATGGATCAGATAATTTACTTGATGCTCTGCCCGAACTCAATAGCTTTAAATCATCATCATCATTTCATCTTGTTTGATTCCACTGTTGAACATAGGCCTTCCCCACAGACTACCGATATAGCATAATCCGGAGCCACATGGCCTCATCTCGCACACACAAAAAAAAAATATTTTGTACAGGTTCGTCAATCTACCATCTGATATTGTTTTACCTTCGTACTGTTTAAACGAAAAGACATCATCTTAATCATAATGTTGCGGTTGGTGATAATTAGAGGTATCATACGAATAAAGAAATTAAAGCCGATATAATTACAACAACATTTAAATACAGAATGTGCAAATTAAACTTGGGAACATATTTTTGTTATAAATTTTTACAATTTTTAAACATAAAAAATGTTTAATTTTAATAATTTTTATGGATCAGATAATTTACTTGATGCTCTGCCCGAACTCAATAGGGCATCATCATCATCATTTCATCTTGTTTGATTCCACTGTTGAACATAGGCCTTCCCCACAGACTACCGATATAGCATAATCCGGAGCCACATGGCCTCATCTCGCACACTTGTACAGGTCGTCACTCCATCTACTGAAGAGTACTGCGATGGCCATTACGAGGCTTTCACGCGAGAACCATTCTGCTCAATCAGTTATCGGTTCTTTAAGCTAAATGACAGTTTACTAATTATTATCTGAGCTATGTCTGACGTCTTCTACCTTAGCTCTACTGCGATTGTCGAATTGTCGTTGTCATTGCAAATTTTATCACGCAGAAAAATACCTAGCAAAGCCCCAGAAAAATACCTAGCATAGCCGCAAAAATACCTAGCATAGCCCGGCCCATAGCTCGCCGAGCAACTTTGAGCTTTCTCATACGACCAACAAGGTGCAGTTCCGTAGATCATCTCTGGCCACACATTGATTGAAGATTTCAGTCTTCAAACATTGATCAAGGGACTACTTTAATTTACGAATAAAAGGGTTTGTCCGTCAAGAGTTAATTATACATTGTTTATTTTCAAAGCGAAATATTTTGATTTTTTAACTAAAAAAAAATAATTTCTATAATCACACGTTATTCCATCCTACCGTATTAATTCGCTTCTGTATTCATTATTAAAAAACAAATGTAACCCATAAATGTCCTTAATTTAAAAACTGGAATGGTAACATATGTATGCTTGGAATAATTTGTATACGGATACAATCTTTCAACTAATTTATAAAAACTGCAAATTACTAAATTACAATCATCAATAAAAATTTTACCAATTATTCATTGATGAAAACACGGCAAAAAATGTCAAATTGTGGTAATTTTTATACGAAAAGTATGAATTATCTATGGAAAAGTGGTAGAAAAACACAGATAAATTATAATAATTAAACTGTGTATTGTTAAGAAAAGAACAATTTAAAATAAAAATAAAAGTTACGATGGATTCACTAATGTTTACCGCGCATGAATGACAACGTTAACCTTGTGTGAATTCAGATAGTAATTCCCCGTGATTAAATATTGTATCTCATTTGTCGAAACTATATGTAATGTTCTCACTGACATGTGTCCCATGGGAGTACAATCTTTGTTATATGGGCGTAGATTGCAATCTTCTGTTTTGAGATCTATAGAGCTAAATCTCTGTGTCCTTAGTTCCCCCGTCTAACTTCGTGTGGCAGAAGCAACAACTGTTATATAAGTATTAGAGTTAGTGGAATTAGCCAAGATCAAAGAGGTATGATTACATTGGTTTCGTACTAAGAGCTCGTCTATTTTTATTTCATTTAAGTTTTAAAAAACAATCATCGTGTGTAGCTCGTTTTGTATTATTTGCTTTCGCGACATATACAAACGAACACCAAACACTCGTTACCGCGCTCTTGTAAGTTCTCGACACGAGGGGCCGAAAGAAAACTATGTTCATAAATTTGATAAGGAGTTGACTGTGCAATGCGAGACATAAAAGGAGGTCACATTTCGAGGCTTAGCAACGTAATTTCTGCTCGGATGTATGTTTGCGAGTTAGTTATTTGATTCTGTTGCATTGGTGCTTCAAATTTACACTTGCCTTGGTATTTGCTTACAGGTAAGAAACGTGTGAGAAAGTGCAAAGTCAATGCTTTTTTAACCGACTTCAAAAAAAGAATGAGATTCTTGGTTCGACTATGTACTTTTAACTACGCTTACGGAAGCACTACCATTATATCCGAAAACATTGTGATTCGCTTTCACACATTTAAAAAAGAGAAGGGGATTTCTAATAAGGATGGATTTGTCAATTGGGATCTGACGAATTTTATTTACACAGCGACAATAATATTATTGTTTATAGTTGAATAGCTCGCGAGTGATTTATAGAATTACATATCTGCCAAAGAATCCGAATATATCCGTAGCTCACTTTATATGAAATGAATATTACTTTACGGATTTCATCGCGTTTTAATTTTGATTTTTTTTATTCTCGACGTGTTGAATCCTATCCCGTGACCAGGAATGCTGGAAAGGGTGTGAAACGTCGGGTAATTAACAGTCAAAATTAAAACGCAATAAAATCCGTAAACTAGTATCATTTAATATGACTAATATTCGCGTAACATCGAGAAATCAACATAGCTCACTTCATTTCAAACCATTTTTTTATGCGAGTAGGTGGCAAGCTAGCTAGCGCTTCATTGGTATTTGCACCACGGAAGGTGGTAGATGCGTGGTCACCGTATAATAAAGTGGGCCCCGACTACCTCACTCACCAGACGAAACGCAGAAGTATAACGCTTTCACTTCACGCCGGTCTTTTTTGAGGTACTTACCCGGACGAATCTCCCCATTCGCGCAACAGCGAGGACTGTTGCGTGGGCCTACCATATTTGAAATATAATTTTATGTCTTTAGAGATATGGTGCATTTCTGTTTAATAAATACGTCACTAATCATTTTCAACAGCATGATCGCTTACAACATGTACTTTAAATTATTAGCTCGATTTTGTAAAAGATCAAATAATTGTTTTACATAAGATACAATTTTAAAGTTAACAAAAAATAAATCGCATTTCATTGCTTATAAGTACAGATTTAGATCGATGTCGATTTGTCAAAACTTCTTTAGAAACTTAACCTTTTCGTTTCGTAAATATATTTTTTTCAACTCTATTACTTTTGTCAAATTTTGTCAAAAAAACTCCAATTGTTGTCAATATTAGAAGGATAAAAAAATTATAATAACTCATTAAGTACATTAAAAAAAAAAGAAAAATATGTTCTTGCTCATTTCGCAAATGAACATTCAGATAATAATATTACGCACAATCAATATCGTACGTTGCTCTACCAATATCGGTGGTAGTGCCACGCAGCTGCCTCGGCTGTTGTACGAATGGGCAGGCTCGTCCGGGTAAGCACCACTACCTCACAGAAGACCGGTAAAGTGGAAGTATGACAAATACTTTCGCGCTTCGTCTGGTGAGTGAGGTAGCCGGAGCCCAATTTCCAAAAAGGTTGTCAACCTTGGGTATAGCAGATGTCCATGGGCGGCGGTATTCACTTAACATCAGGTGAACCGCCTGCTCGTTTGGCAACTTTTCACATAAGACAAAAAAAAACGTACGAATACTATAAATTGTGTTTGGGAGGTTGATAAGACACAACGAGTAGGAACTTATCAATTGATGAAAAGCCAGTAATTACACAAAAACTACAGATAAAAAATCCGCAGAAAATACCATATACTTATATACAACACCATATACCGTTATGACTTGTTATATTAAAAACCGCGAAGTCAGAGTTACACAATTCATCGCAATGACCATGCCTGTTCAATCCGCCCAAGTCAACTTTTTGCAATGACTATAACAATAAATGAACAATAATTCAACGTTTAAACGTTGAATTATTGTTCTCACAACTTGAGTTAAAAAAATGATATCGGTTTAATGCCATATTTTAACATTATAGTATATTATCATTAGTTGTGAGCAAGTGGATACAGTTTCATGTTTCTTTTTAATGTGCGTATTAGGTATTCTATCGTTTTGTATGATAGTTTATATTTCGCCGGCGTGTATCTTGCTGTACTACTCTTGTTTTAGGTGTCTTCAGGTAAGCGTGGCTAGGATAGAGGAAGCCCTAATGTAAATAAGTGGCAGTTAGTTTTTGATACAAAAAAAAATTAATTTTACAAAGGCGGACATTGCCTTTGTACAAGTAAATTTTTTTATACTTAGATAACACCTCAAAATCAATTATAAAATGAATACAGAGCGAGAATTGAAATCGCTTTTGTTTTTCGTTATAAAAACAACTTGTTTATTACCAATGTGATTGCCGCTTTGATACATCTTTTGGAAGCTGGACTTTACATCCATGACTGTCTCATATTATAAATAAATATACTCTACAGATTACCTGCGCATAAGAACTATACTAAAAGGCAA